AGTCGTTTCTGTTGTCTCTGGGCTTCTTTCTTTTCACTTTTACCGTTGTCGCGCTCTTCTTGCTGACATAAGATAACCCAGTGTTCTTCTAGGGATCTATTTACTACAAGATAAATATTTTAGACAGCGTATCGCCGAATAACATTAACAGCCGCAGTCATCCACTCATGTTGTGGTGCCCGATAGAGCAAGCAGTCGAGGCGGAGTATGACCCGGCGCTTGAGCCAGTGATTCACGCCAAGCATTAGGCGTGCGATTGAAACGACAGCTTGCTGAAGGCACTGAGGGAGCGGAAATCGAAGGTGGTCCTTGGACCGAGCATCTGCGTCGACACCAACAGGGAGGCTACGGGCGCACGAATTCCCGCCGCTCCGGGTACGAACAGGATACCCTGAACAAGATTATCCACGGCTTAGACACAGACAGTTATTTTTTACGCTGCCGGGAACCAAGGTATATCACTTATTCCCATCATAGAGAGACTTGATCCATGTTCCGGAAGGGTGTGTGCGGGAAAGCCGACCATGATCTTAGACGCCATGCAAAGAAACTCGACCGAAGGTGTCGCGATGTGCGGAGCACACTGATCTCGAAAATTTTCACTTGCGTATGGAAAAGGCGCTGGACTATGGTTCCTGTGAGGATTCTCCTTTTGCTCTCCTTCAGTGGTCTGATCCTCGAGAACGCATTGACAAGCCCCGCTATAGACTTATCGCTCCTAGCGCACTCATTTGCAGGTGGTTCCGGACTCGACATCAAGCGGGTTAGCTGATTAACTCCCCGGACGTCTATCAGATTGGTCACTAATGTGTACACCTTGTTACACCTTCTCGAGAAGGTCGCTTTGAGGACAAAGTACGAAAGCTAGGCGACCACCCGTCCTTACCATTAAAAACCTTCACTATTCCAAGCATAACGAGCACGACTATGCTATGCTCATACAGCTACAGCAGCGCCCGCAAGCTTGCTTGGTCAGTGGTTCATTTCCTCCTCGCGAGTTGCACATATGATTGAATCCATTAATTACCTGACCCAGCCCTTATGATTGTGGGTTTATACATCGTACACGTTCAAATCGAGGTTCTGATCCGCTGGTTTACTGAGTCTGTCCCCAGAGACGATCAATGGTCATATCTCGTTCTGAGAACGTGTACTAATGCCGATATGCTACAGAAACGTCTGGAGCATTCATAGAAAGGCACGCGTTTCGTATGTCCACACCGACTATTGGCGATCTCAGCTCGGATGAGGTTGTCACTGCATGCCGGGATATTCGCCGCTTCACACGCATGCCCACGCCTCCGAATCCGTTATTGAAGAAGCAGCCGCCATCGTCAGCAGCAGGTTCGATTATGTCAACGTCGCCGCTTATTCGCGTGGCATGCTTGAAATGGCAGGTCACATGCTTCTTGGCAAGAAGGGCTGGCTATCGAGCCTGATTGAGCTCATCAAGGATTGCAACAGCGATGCCGTGAATGAGGTATGTACACCGTTTCGTCGTCTTACTACCCCCCCATGACCTTCTGACTCCCTCGCCCCTTACCCTCTCCCCGCTGAAATGAGGTTCTTGTGCGTGGCTTCTGCTACAAGAAATACCTCAGACTGCACCAGGATACGTGCAGCGAGATGATGATAAAGACACATGGCAGGCAGGAAAGTTGTCGTATAACACGACGAAGTATCTGCCGCTCCCCGGGCCGGCTACTTCTTCCGTGCACTCTTACCTCTTGTCTTGGTCACTTTCATGTAAACGGACATCGTGTCTCTTGGTGTCTGATTAAGCACGCGTGTCGTCAGCCCATGGGCCGTGTCGATTCTCTGGAAGGTATGTAGGGTTTTTGACGCTGAACGGTGTCACTACTTAGAGCTTGACCACATGAACATTGACGCGGCTATACATTTGAACTAGACGCGTCTTCCCCCTCGAGTTCGAGTCTGCGTGAAATCGTTCGCCGTGATTTCATGATGCTCACAGCACCATATCCCTCCAGGTGAACTATGACGTGCGGCGAGAGTCACTGCTCATTCTCGGAGCGACCTGTTCGATGGCGTCTGGGAGCGGATCGGCAAGATAGAACATTAGTACCACGCGCGAGCCCACGGTGTGTGTCGACAGTCTCCATACTTGCTGCTTATCACCGCATCGCCCTTCTTTACCTGTCTTCCACCGTATACGGGCGTAGTATGCTGACAGACTCGCGCTTGGACTCGCACTTCTCGCTTACAGCTCAGGGGCTTCACCGAGAGTGACCGGATCGATGTCACCGTCGCAACATGTGTGATCTCACCGGGAGAAGTGTAAGAGACGATAATAGTTGAGACCGCGGCCTGATCGCGTTCTTCGTGCTTGGATAATTGACTTCCATCACAAGCCTGAGCGTCGTTCCCTTCGCGTCTTCCACAGGCTATGTTGACGCACAACGTCCGCTATATGGTTGACGGAGACTTGCTCGCGCTGGTTGCCCTTTTCTACGCTGCCGGTTCTGAAGCATCACACAAAGACAGAATTCGAGCCTTTTGTAGTTGAATCGAGATGAAGGTTCAGTTACGGTAGCGTCGTGCTGAATTGACTCGCTATATATCTATTAGCAGCGGGAGAAACACATCTGATTCCGTCCTAATGTACGTACTATCCTCGCTGTCAGATATTTAACTCTCTGCTGCAAATTCCTTCGTCCCGATTCCTGAAGTCAAAGCCCAGTGACTTGAGCGAGCTCAAGAACGCGTGCACGTGCCGCGAGCGGCGGCGCGCTGAGGCAGCGCACGCCGGATAGCAGTGGCCGTGACCGGAGCCGTGTTTCGTCCGCAGCGGCCATCCTGTGCATCGGACTGTCCCATGCACGCTCATCTCCCCATCCTGACCATCCGACCACCTTAAGCCACCACCGGACGTCATGAGCCTCGACCAGAATCTCTTCACGCTCAATGTCATCCCAGATCCGTCTACTCCCAGCGCGACAGACCTCGTCGACCCCGTGGGCACCGCACACTACCGTAAGGTTCGTGTCGGCGGTCCGCTCTACCGCATGGACCTCCTCGGTGTGTCTCGTTGCCTGCTCGCCTGCTCAGCGCATGATGACCCGCCGCGCAGACCCATTGTCAGGCGCGCTGCTCGCGCGCGCGACCGCGCCGGATGCGACGAGCAAGACAAAGGTCATCGAGCTCTTCAATCCGTCGCTCGTCGTTGAATTCCGCTCCGTCGGCACGCTCTCATTCAAGTGGACATTCCATTGGGAAGAGTGCGTCGCTGCCCGCGCGCATCCCTTCCGTACCATCTCACCCGCATCTTGTCCACGTTCACCCTACTTCGCGCTGCAGCCACGAGTTCGAGTGGAAGCGCGAGGAGTGCTATATGGTGCGCAAGCCGGACCCCGCTGTGCTTGTCGCCGTCACGAAGGAGCCACCGGGCCGGCTGCGCTCGACCGCGGTCCAGATCCTAGACTACAACCTACACCGATTCGACATCGCAGACCGCAAAGGGTTTGAGATTGCGTTGCTCTCCGCGCTCTTGACTCTCCATGACCTCAGCGACTCACAGAACGGCCCGCCGCCCGCGTACGCGGAGCCCGAGCCCGAGCCCGTGCAAGCGCAGGCGCCCGCCGTGCCGCCGAAGCTCGAGGGTCTCGACCGTATCGCGGAAGCGCAGGCCGCGCGTGGTGAGGTGAATGAAGTTACCGTCACGGAGGACGGCACGGTGGAGGACTACGCGGCGTACTCCGCGCGGCTGCTCGAGGTGCGTCTTACGTGCATGTGTGTTGCGCACGACACTGAGCGTCTGTAGGACGATGCGATGCTGTTCATCTCCATCCGCGCCGAATCCGCGCCGAACGTGCCGCGCGTCTTGGCTGTCGTCGAGGAAGCGAAACGTCTGCGGTACAAACAGGGTGCGCCTCCCCCCCGGCTTCGCTCGAGGGCGCGCTGACACGTACGCAGGCATCGAAGAGGAGCTGCACCAGTATGTCGTGTACGACGCGAAGCCGGCGCGCCGTGGGCGCATTAACCTCGATGACCCCGCGCCAACGTCGGCACGCGCGTACACGCCGCCTGACGCGCTCACGGTTCACCTCAGCAAGATTGACATGCCGGAGCTTAAACCCAAGACCACGCCGCCGAAGGCTAGCCACTTCTCGCGTGCGTCCTGCCTTCCATTTCCCCCTCGATTCTCTTACATTTCCGCCCTTTCCGCCCTTCCCACCGTCCACTCCACCCTTTCTCCCGCCCGCGTGATCTCATCTCCCTAACCCACGTATCCCCCAGCGCCGCGCACCGCACCGCCAGACACCCATCCGTCCGACTCAAGCACAAAGCCGTCTCCGTCCCGCGCAAGCACAAAGCCATCTTCGTCCAGCTCGAGCACGAAACCACCTCCGTCTAGCTCGAGCAGAAAGTCTCCTTCCTCCAGTCCAAGCGCGAAGCCGTCATCGTCCAGTTCGAGCACGAAGCCGCCCCCGGCCACCCCCTCCCCGCGCACAGATACCACGCTCGCGCGCCTACTGAAGTCGCGCTCCTCGCGCCCGTTACTCTCATCATCATCCCCGCCGCCACCGCCTCCGATACCACACGACCGCCGACCACCCCGTGTGCAACCAAGTCCGGCGCAACTGGGGAACCCGCTGTTGTTTGTTGGGGAGCTGACGGGGAAGGGGAGTGGGGGTGGGAAGGGATTCTGGGGGACGAAGCGATGAGGTAAGGCGAGGGTAGGTGTAGGGCGGGTGCGAGTAGTTGTCGTGCTTGGAGGCAGACTTTCCTTTCCCGTGGAGTTGAATATTATTTAAATATTTCGAGTACGAGGCGGGCGGATGTCCATGCGCTGTATCATAGAACTGGTGTATACTCGCCTACTCACAATCTAACTTAAGTGGTGTAAGGCTCGGACGAGTGATACAGTACAGTTCCTTGAGTATTGAGGGCCGACCGACGTACTGGGCGTGCGGTGAAGGGATGGGAGTGGGCAACGTGGAACTGAGAAAAAAGAAAAAGTCAAGCAAGTCAACAATCAATGGACGAGCTGGGGATTGAACCCAGGACCTCGTGCAGTCGATCCCATGTGAAAGCTAAGAATGCGAAGCAAGCGCGCTACCACTGTGCCACTCGCCCATGCAATCAGGTGACCATTTGGCCATTCTGTACTTACCGCAAGCCAGAGCAGATGCCGCGATATTTATCTCTTTTTTCGGAATAGAGTTTATTTATTGTCCCGGGAACTGTGCGCACCATAACAGACAGCTCTTGTCCACGTGTATGCTATGTAATGATTACCCCTAGGCGCTGACGATTGGGTAACACGAGCTGTGAAGGTCCTCGGCCGCGATGCGGAGGGGGTTATCGTGGGTGTCGGACCAGTGCAAGTCGAAGAGGAACCTCGCCTACTTCATTCCACCGTGTGCAGTATCGCTGGTAGCCCTTGTATTGGTGTCCGTGTGTGGGTCAGATTAGTCAGCCCCGGGTGAGGATTTCGTCGTTTCGGGGCGTACATATCTCATCATACTCATGGTGAATTGTGCAACCACGCCCCACGAGCGCCCACCTCGCTTCGAGTCCCGCAATTGCCAAGGAAGACAAGACGCTCGTCGTGCGCAGTACGGCAGTGCACCCTCCCCGGCGAAAACGGGACAGAACGCGTTCGTCGGTTGCACCGTAGTCCTACTCGTGCTCGGCACAGGCTCGGCACGCTCGTAATAGGGCACCGTGTACATGGACGAATGGAAGGCTCCAGGTTGCCGTGAGCATCTTCGTGTCGCCGTGCTGCAGGTCTGGCGCCGCGTCGTGTCTGTCTCGCGATGGTCTGAGACACGCCGAGCGCATCAGGGAAGCTCAATGTATATCATGTGCGCCAGACATGCATGGCGTTATATGCGCCTGAGATGTGCGCCGTGTATCGCGCGCTGGGGCGGTATATTTAGACAGTGGGCCAGGGCGCCGCAGCGTGTGGGGGCAGCGATGCGGACGATCGGGTGCGTAAAAGGCGAGGCGCTATTTCGGGCGGCGCGGTCTCTCGCGAGCGCATTGTGGTTGCCTTACACGACGGCGGGAAAGAGGAAGATAGACAAATGGATAGGGGAGCATGTGTCCAACAAGCTTAGAGTGCAGCGTAGAATGCTGGGGAAGCGATCCGAGGAAGAGGGTGGTTAAGGAAGCGTTAAGGAAGCATGCCAAGGCGGAGGCTGCGGAGGATGGGAGGGATGTCGGCGGGTCTTCAGATGGTCCTTGGCGAGCGGAGGTCGTCGATGCGCATATAGAGACGGGCTGGGCGAGGCAACGAACAGAATGTCGAGGACGAAGACGCGAACGACAAGACGCGGCCAGTCCTTGCCGGCGGGGGTGATGCGGCCGTGGACGAGTGACCGCGGGCGCCTTTTGTCTGCGCGGCGCTCCCCAGCTTGGATCCTTCCATCCTGGTTGCCTTCGACGACGACGACGGCGACGTCTTTCTCTCCGCCCCCTTCCGCTCTTTCCCCCGCCGTCCTCGCCGTTGTTCTCCATTCTCCTTCACGCGTCCGCCTCTCGCCATGGCCCGCGCGTCCGTCCGCTTACTTGCGCTGGCGCTCCTCCCGGCTCTCGCAGCCGCGCAGACGGTCTATTACCCCAAGGGCCAAGTCATCATGGGTGGCCAGGGCAACTCTCAGCCGACCACTACGACTACCGCCACTACCGGCGCTGTAACATTTACCGGGGCCGCCGCATACAATCCGACCACCCTCTCCGCACCCGCCGCCCCGACTGGGCTCACCACTCAGTTCACCGTCCCGCTCTTCCAGGGCGGCATGACCAATATGTCCATCCCCATCCCCTCAAACTTCATGGGCTTCTCTATCGAGATGTCCGTCTTCAACCAATACCGTCCGTCCTCTTTCCTTTCGTCCTTGTTCCCGCGCTGACGATCCCGTCCGCAGTCGGCAAGAACAGGTTCGTCTCCCTCGCGCTCCCGTCGGCTCACCGCACAGCCGCCGTCTGATTGCCCGCCCCGCAGCTCGCTCCTCAATATCCCCTTCCTCAACCTCGTCGCGAACGTCGCAGCCCGCGCCGGCTCGATGCAGATCCGCGTTGGCGGCAACTCGCAAGAGACCGCCGAGCTCGTCGGCAGCATCGCGAACGGTAATGGGTCCATCATCTCCAAGGACCTCCAGAACGTCTTCAACCACAACACACCCCCGATCATGTACACCGCAGACCTCTTCTACCTCATGAACAACATCTCCAACCTCGTTCCCATCGCGTGGTACATGGGCATCCCCTTCTTCAACGTCACACCGGTCGACTTTAACCTTGCTGTTCACGCGGAGCAGATCCTCGGCAACCGCCTGATTGCTCTCCAATCTGGCAACGAGCCAGATCTGTACGCACAGGGTGGCCGGAACCACCGTCCAGTTGTGCGTCATCCCACGTGCTTGCCCCCGCCTTCGTTCGTCTGACCTCACGCGTTTTCCCTAGGGCTACGCGCCGCAAAACTACTCGGACGAGATTGGGTCCATGATCAGCCAAGCACAGAGTAGCGGCATGCCGCGTCAGAACGACATCTGGCTCGTTGGCTCCGTCTCGACGGCTAACACGGATCCTCTCTTCTCGCCCGACGCCGTATGGGCGACGGGCCTCGTCAACACGTATCTGCAGCAGATCCACACGATGTCTGTCGAGCGCTACCCGAACAACAACTGCGCCGCCGTTTTCAACACCGGCGCCCCGATCGTCGATCCTCAAAGTGTGCTGGGCTCGTACCTCTCACACGCTGCCACGTACGCGCTCCAGCAGCAGTACGCCGCGTCAGCCGGCGTCGCCGTAGGCGCGGGAAAACCTCTCGTCATGTTCGAGACCAACACCGCGTCCTGTAATGGCTTCGTCGGCATCTCAGACGCATTCGTCGGTGCGCTCTGGGCCGTCGACTGGGCGATGTCGCTCGCCGCAGGAAACTTCTCCGGCGTGTTATTCCACTTCGGTGGGCAGTCGAGCTTCTACAACCCTTTCACGCCGCCACCTGGGAACCAGACGAAGTTCAGGCAGTGGACCGTCGGACCCGTGTACTACTCTACGCTCGTCGTCGCGGAGGCTCTGGGCAAGAACAATCAATCGCAAGTCGTCGACCTCTTCGCGAACGGCAATAACGCACTCACCCCCGCATGGGCCATCTACGAGGCCGGCACCCCGAAGAAAGTTCTCCTGATCAACTACGCGTCCGACCCGTCCGGCGCATCGACCATCACCGCGTCAATCCAGATCGGCGGCGGCAGCACGGGCCAGGCCGCAGCGAACCCCGGCAGCGTGCGCGTCAAGCGGCTCACCGCGCCGAGCGTCGTAGCGAAAGGCGCGTTTACATGGGCCGGGCAGACGTTTGGGAATGCGTTTGAGAGCGATGGGAGGCCGGCGGGGACACCGCAGGTCGACACGGTCCAATGCGATCCGAACAACGGGTGCGCCGTCCAGGTGCCCGCGGGATCGCTCGCACTCGTCTTCCTCACCAACGACGCGTTCGCACCGGAAGATGCGACGGGCTCTGCCAGCGCCGCGACGTTCAGCACGTCAACGCACGCCGCGCAGACGCTCAATACGGCCACGATTGATCTTGCCGTCCTCGCGACGTCGAACGGACACGGGAACGTGAATAACCTCCAGTATGCGACGAGTCCGGGGTCGCGTAGTGGTGCGGTTGCAGCGAGAGCTGTCGGGCCGATGCTTGGTGCGTTTGTGATCGGTGTCGCGGGACTTGTGCTGGGGATTAGGAGGTGGATGTGAAGTTCACATGTGGGGGAGAGGGAAGGACTGCTGCTGCATCATAGGACGCTCCGTCCGGGCGCACGAAATATACGGACCAGATCGCTCTCTGGTCTCGCTGTCATACATACAATACACGCACACGTACGATACACATGCGCGCGCGCACGTACGTACGATACTCTCGCGTCGCACGCGCCCCGCTCGTCGCTCTTCCTTTCTCGTCGCTCGTTTAGCCTGATACCCTTCCCACCCTCGCGCGGTGCGCGTAATCCAGCCTCTCGCCCCAGCTTGCTTTCACGGCTCCCGCGCGTGTATCGTAGTGCATTCCATTTCGATTCAATGGATCCGGCCAGCTCGCTTGAAGCGCACCGTTGAGAGATGCTCGTCGCAGATACCCGGGGCCCCGACGCTGAGCCTCGTTATGCTCATGCTCACCGAGTCTGCTGACCGATGCGCTTGCGGTGGACATGTGCCGCTCGCGCATCTCGGGCGACGCTGCACGGCCATGTGTCCACCACGATGTCATCCTGCGCGTCGCCTCCCACGGCGGACAATGCAGGTGCGCCGGATTCAAAGTCTAAGTTCCCCACGCCGCCACTGGGGGCGGTAGTAGTTACCTCATGGGCTTCGCGAAGAAGTTCGCGAAGCGGCACCGTCTCCTTGTCGATGATGTCGCGGCCACGCTCGCGCTTTGCCGACGTAGACTGGCCAGTCCTCGATGCCACCGCGGTCATTCGAGTGGAAAGAGGGCCGACGGTAGAACGTCGATCGTGCAAGAGCGGCGCCGCGCGACAGGCCCGGCAGACATGCGCGGGGACTGAAGTATAAGATTAAGCAATTGACGTCGACCGAATAAAGAGGCCTTCGCCGACGCGCGTCTAAATTAACGGGTCTGCCGCCGGACGTCCGATTGCGATTCGAGATCGCTTTGCCATCGCGACGTGCCTTCTTCCAAGGAACGCACCAACTGCCACCGCGACCTGAAGGAGAACAATGACCATTCGCGCATGCCCCGTCCTCTTCCGGCGACACAATGAGCGACCGCTGACCACCGCGCGGGATTGTTAACCACAATAGCCTATGCGCCCGTGGTCGCGCGCGTGTGGCCCCTGTGCTCGCTTATAAGTTGCCGTGGTCAGCGTGGTCGTCGGCCCTCCAATATCGTTTTCCCCGTTTTCCCCATCGCTTCTCTCCCTGCGCGACCTCCTTCCCTCACCACCGCCACCGTCATGCAATTCCCGCGCCACCCCTTCCGTGCGCTCCTGCGAGGTATCGCTATCTGCACACCACGGTGCGTCCATCCACCGCTATCCTCGCTCTCTACGCGCGGTATCGGCTGACGCGTGCGCACAGCGTCGCGCTGCCTGCTCTCCTCCGCCCGCGCCCAC